GCTTAAACCGGAAAGGGTGGGGCGCTTGCTGGCCGGTGCCCAAGGGAGCGGGACGGGACGGGGACTTTGGGACTTGGGAGGACACCGGGTGCCTGGTGGTGAGGGTCTTCGCGCCGTTAATCGATCCAACCAGGAAGTGGGGAATCGCCCTGTACCTCCAACCACCGCTTTCCCCCCAATAAAACCATCTCACAGCTTCCTGCAGAGATTGTCCGGCCTTCCCGGACAGATGCGGCGAGACACCAGAGGAAGGAGCTGCAAACGTCCAAAAACAACCCCGTAGCTTTAAAACTCTGCTGGGTTTCCGGTATCGCAGTTCTTTCTAGAATTAGATGAATGATTGAAAATGTCTTACCTAAGTCCCAGCGCAAATAATGGGATGGGTTTTTAAGAAGTGTTTTTCACTCCTGACTGGTTTGGCTCAGTGTATAGAGCGTCGGCCTGGTGACTGAAGGGTCCCGGGTTCGACTCTGGTCAAGGGCATGTACCTTGGTTGTGGGCACATCCCCAGTAGGGAGTGTGCAGGAGGCAGCTGATCGATGTTTCTAACTCTCTATCCCTCTCCCTTCTTCTCTGTAAAAAATAAATAAAATATATTTTTAAAAAAAGAAGTGCTTTTCAGACCTCAGGTTGCAGCATAGTGTTTTGTAGGCTCAGTGTACCTTCTGGTGTGACCAGCATAAAACACACACAATAAGGACACAATAGAATAGAAACGGGGAGAGGAAAGAGTAAAAATATACATCCCACATAGTAAGTGTATTATTTGTGACTTTGTTTTGCAGGTTGATCATGTGATCTGTATCCATTATTCCTCTTAGAAGATGAATCCTAACCTCTTTAATCCATTCTCTCTCTGCCTTACTAATGTCCTTAAAAATGTTTTTCCACCTCAGAGAGAAAGGAATTTCCTAACCTCAACAAATATTTGTCTTGACCTTATGTTTTTAAGAGAAGCTACTTGCCTAAGTAACATCTTTAAATGTTCTTCCTACTTATCTTTTGTTTCCTTCTAAAATTTGAAAATTTCTTCCAGTATCCATGAGCAAGGCCCTGGCTGTGCCATCTACTTCAATTACCCTTCATCCGCCAGATATTTGTGAGGAGTTTTTAATATGTGTTTTGAGCCAGCTTCCAAGAATAGTGTGTTTAACTGGTAGTATCTTGCTAGCTGCTATAACTAAAATTTTCAGTGATTTAACACAAGAGTAATGTCTTGCTTGCATAACTGTTTAATAATACAGGTGTCATGAGTTCAGGGGTGGGGGGCAGTTTTCTTCCATGTAATGATTCAGGGACCCAGGCTCCTTCCATCCCATAGAATGGAGGTCAACCAATACTTTTTGTAAAGAGCCAGATAGTCAGTCAATGCTTAAGGCTTTGTGGCTGTAGAGTCTCTGTTTCAACTATTTAACTCTGCCTTTGCATTTGTAGTTCCATAGACATTACTTTAAAATGTATGGGTTTGGATGTTTCCAGCGAAACTCTATTTACAAAAGCAGGTAGCTTGCTGGATTTGACCTGTAGTTTGCTAACTTCTGCCATAGATTTACAGAGACTTCTGCATTTAGTTAATGGTTGGGCAGAATAAAGGC